TGTTATCACTGTTGTCAGAACTGGTGTGCTATCACTTAAGCCAAGCATGTCATCATGTACCTATAGTCCCAGCTACTCAGGAGGCTGAGGCAGGAGGATGGCTCAAGCCCAGGAGTTAGAGGCTAGCCTGGGCAACACAGGCAGACCCTATGTCAAACAAGCAAAATTACAAAAAGTGAGGCTGGGACAGGTCAGACTGAAGCTAGTCAGACCTCAGCTTGGCAGGAGGTTGCAGGTAGGACTTGGGCAGGTGGCTGTGGGGGCATGGGTGGCTGCAGGAGCAGGGGACATGTCCCAGCAGATGGCAGTCTAAGGGCAGATCAGCGTCCTGACATGCTTCCTGGATGGACCAAGCCAAAGGCCTGAGAGGCATTCTCATTCCGAGGCTGGTGGGTCCCATCCCCCAGCTTTCTCACGCTCCCATCTCTGTCCTAACTCCTGGATACAGGGGGCCTAGCATCAGCCACACAGACTTCCTCTAGGGAATCCTCTCGGGCCCAGTTCCTGGCTGAATGCATACTAACAGACTGTTACCAAGTGGACTGTCTCCAGCTCTTCTTAACCAGTTACCCATGATGGGTATATAAACCCTGTCAATGCACGGGCTCACCAGAGTACACAAGGTACTCCCCACTTACAGATAGGAAAAGTGAATTCTAAAAAGCCAAAGGTCTTTTCCAAATTCACTAAGGTGGTATATGGCAGGTCCGCCTCCCAAGATGGAAACTTAAAATTAAAGAGTGTTACTTTATAGATTCAACTCTGAAAGTTTCAGCTGTTCTCACCATCCTGAACCTTTGGAACTGACATGGTCTTGCTAGCTAGTGTGTACTTTGCTCCTAGACGGAAGAGAAAGGAAGAAGCCCACTAAATTTCTCATCAGAACTGAACAAAGGGCCAGGGGTCCTAATGGGGAACAGAGGCAGCAAGTGACAGCTTGGGACTGGGACAGAGCTGGTAGGGATTCTGGCCTAGCCAACCATTTCTGGCTGTGTGACTACAGCCAGAGCACCTTTGCCTCTAAACCATTCAGTTACCGCATCTATAAAACGAGGTTCATTTATCACTGAGGGACTTTGACGACTAAGAGAATCTTTCTCAATAAACAGCCAGCTGCTCCTCTTATCCTTCAACCAGAAGTGTCCCATTTAGTGGCAGGTATGTGTCAGACTCATGCTAATCCAAGTCCTTAATGCTGCTAGATGACTTGATAAGTCCAGTGGTGTTCTGGAGACACCATACTGAGGCACTCAGTCTGCCTTCCCCATAGAATAGTCTGATTCTTTCTCCTCCATCAGTCTCAAGCACAGATGCTCCCACCCCCAAACCCTCTTCCTCGAGAGGATAACTGGAAGTGATAACTCGCAGCCCCACTGCTGGCTAGAACTCTCTGAACCACACTGGTTCCTGGACAGCTAGAATGACCTGCCAGATAACTGAACTTGGGCTAGTCTCTTCAGTTGAGGAACTGGACGCCTGTGAAGAAGTGGCTCCTGAGGGCCCAACACCAGCCAGTGTGGCCAGAACCCAGTGCGCTGGATTCTGTTTGAGGCCTTCCGCCTACCTCCTTCCTCCTCCCCAGGTCTGGGATGGGGTCAGTGCTGTCAGGAAGACATAGCCCAACTCTTCCTGGCTAGAGCTCAAGTCCCTTCATCAAACAGAATACCCCAAAGAGGAACGTTCTTGTTTTCTATCCCCTCCCCAGGTTATAAAAGCCCACTCCATGTGATTACTGAGCTGGCTAACTGGCTCTGGGAAGAGCTTCCAGCCTCTCGTAGTCTTGGTGGTTTTCCTGCACAGCAACTGTTCGGCTGACTCAAGTCTGCTAGTAACTCAATCCCCTTTTCAAACTGTCAACACAGCGGTATCAACAGCATCATTAAAATTGATGTCAGCACAATGTGACAAGGCTGGAGAAAGTGGAAGGTCACAGGAAAGGGTAGTCCCTTTTGTGGTACCGTCTGGCCCTTTTCTGGTGGTAGGGTAGAGTAGATCAAACAGGAATGCCAGAAATGGAAAGGATCCGTTCTCCTGTATTGAACCCTGGGTGTGGAGAGGATGCAGAGATGTGGGGGCTAGCATCTCCCCCAGCTATCAGCAAGTGCCATCATTTCTCAGGGCCTGGATTCCTACAGCAAGAGGGAACCCAGGCAAGAGCACAATGATGACAAGGCCACATGGTTTCTAGGGTAGGCTCTTTCACTATCTCACCAGGACAGCACAGACCAGTCTTGGGCCCTTCTCCTGTGCTTCTACAGTAACAATGGCATTTATAGCAGAACTGTGCCTTCAAATGGAAGGACACAGCTGGGCGCTGGTGGCTCATGCCTGTAATCCTAGCTTCTCAGGAGGCTGAGATCAGGAGAGTCGTGGTTCAAAGCCAGCGTGGGCAAATAGTTTTGAGACCCTATCTCAAAAAAATCACTAAAAAGGACTGGTAGACCTCAAGGTATAGGTCCTGAGTTCAAGTCCTAGCACTGGGTGGAAAAGAAACCACACATGCTGACATTTTACACATAAGCATGCATGTGGATCCCAACTCCTCTGGCCCCACAGGAGCTAGCCAGGACTGGTCATCCAGCAAACCCACTCAGTGAAGTTCTCCTTCACATGGGTGACAACTCCAGAACTAGTCTGCTCTGTGATCTCAAACTTGCTTCTCACAACTCTCTTCTTCAGTCAAGAATGGCTGAGCCTCCAGCCTCTCCCTAAAGGTAGAGCCATGTTCAAGACTTCTAAGCAAACCAAATGTTAAAAAGAAAATCGAAACAGAAATTAAACCGTCTTGAGGATCCCATAAGCATCTCACTGGCTGCGAGACATTTTATACAGTGGTGAACAGGAAAGATTTGTCCTCTAACAGTCCAGATCCTTCTTCCAGCCCCACCTCCCCTTCATTGCTTTTTCCTCGTTATCTGAGTATCTGCCCTATGTGCCAGGTCCTCCCTCCTTTGTCCCTTTTTTTTGAGGGAGGAGGGGTAGGAATGGGGTTTAAACTCAGGGCTTCAGCTTGAGTCACACCACCAGTTCATTTTGCCCTGCTTAATTTAGAGTTGGGGCCTCTTGAACTATTTGTTCAGGCTGGCCTTGAAAAGCAATCCTCCCGTTCTCAGCCTCCCAAGTAGTTAGATTATAGGCATGAACCACTGGAATCTGGCTACATTCCTATTTCTAAACACTACTCATCATCACACCTGTAATCCCAGCTGGTTAAGTATTGAGATTGGGAGGATCATGGTTTGAGGCCAGCTGGGGAAAAAAGTTAGTGACATCCCATCTTAACCAATGAAACTGGGCATGATAGAGCACACCTGCCATCTCAGCTATGCAAGAGGCATAAGTAGGACTGTGTAGTCCAGGACAGCACAAGCAAAAATGTGATTATTTTAAAAATAAATAAAGCAAAATGGAGGCTCAAGCACAAGACCAAGTTAAAACCCTGGTACTGCCAAAAATAAATGCACACACACTACTCATACTTCACATACAGCTCAAATCCTTTTCTTTCTAGGAAACTTCCCCTAAAAGGACGCTACCTACTTGGTGCCACCTCTGCACGCTAACCTTCACCTGGGCTTCTTGCTACTGGATCCTAGTAGGTACCATTCGAGGGCTGGCTATCTTTTCCTTGCAAGTGACTATGAGCATGAAGGGGTGGTCTGACTTTCTAAACCAATCCCTTTGTCCAGCCAATGAATCTGCCACATCTTAGGTAGATACTGGAAAGTTCTATAAATTTCTAGAAGCAGGAAAAACCACAATCCAATTACTGTGCCTGGTATTTGACAAGATATGGGAAACCTTAAGGACACCCAGCCCAAAGGAGAAACAACCTGAAAACGTACGGAAGGCTTCCCAAGCGGAAGATAAGGCCTTACGGTTGAGGGAAATAACATGACACGGGTTCAACCAAAAACCAAACTCACCTTTCCCGAATTTCTTTTCAGAAAGTAAACATTTTAAAGCCTATGAGACTTGGATTTTAAGGTACACAATTTAGGGCCTCCGCTGAGGAGATAAACCTTTTGTTATAAATTTAGATCACAATCTTCCATATGCTTTTACACACATTCCAGTAGTTATAGCTAAAATTTAACTAAAATAACCATCAAAAGACTGACAATGCTGTCATATACCTATTTTTACGCGATGCTTGTCCTGTGGACACGGACTACAGAATGCCTTCCCCTCCCCCAAGTCCCCTCAAGAAGAGGGAAAATGTCCACATCAGTTAGAGCCAAGCCAACCCCAGGCAGTGTCGGCCCATTTGTTGGTGAGGCTTTTCACACACCACTCCTCCTTAGCACGCCTGTCTGGGTAACAAGCTAGGCTCTGTTCATCTGTCAGTCATGCTATACATGTTTCAGCCGTGGTGTAAAGCCCATTTTTTCCCTTCAGACCTTCTTGTCAGCAGGGTCACAGACCATCAATGCTGCAAGAGACTTCAGAAGCCATTTGGCCACACCCCTTCAATTTTAGACTAAGCGGGGAACCCGAGGTCAATACAAGGTCATGCCATAAATGAGTGGCAGAATCAGAAGTAGAATTCAGATCTCTTGGGACTCTGTGGTTCAGATCTTTCTCTTTATGTTTTCCCCCTTAAATTCAAGTATTACTCAAACCTAACATTATTTACTGGCTTTCCGGGGCTCCAGACTATTCAGTTCCAAACATTACCATTTTTCTCCAATGCTGGAGATTGAACTCAGGACCGCAAACATGCTAGGCAAGCATTCTACCACTAAGTCACATCACCAGCCCTCTCTCTGAACATTATTTTGAAAAAGTCTGATTTAGTCCCCTAGTCATTAAGAATGATTAGACACTTCAAGACTGTATACATTTGTGCATTTCCTCACCAATAACCACTAATATACCTACACCAAAAACTCTTCTTCCTTTTGTTTTAACGAGCTTATAATTAAGAGCTCAATTTAAAAAGGTAAGCATACAACTAGGCTTTACCAAACAGTAACATGTTTATTTCACTTAAAGTCAAAAAATACTTTTCTGGCAGTTGTCACATAAAATGTCCTAATGTGTATAAAAAAATCATTAAAAAAGAAAAGCATGAAAAAACAGACCCAAAATGTTAAGATTTTATTTACAAAGCTTCTTCTTGTACAGAAAGTAAAAATGCTGTTACAATCTCGGTGTAACTGGTAGCCACGGACGGTTGACTCACCAATCACAGCTATCCACGCTACAGCAAGAGTCTTACACGAAAACCTAACAACGCTTACAATTTTGTTGGGGCTGAGTGCCCAAGCTTGGTGGGTTACCAAGAGGGACTAAATGGAGGAAGGCGGAATGTCACAGGAACTATTCTTTGGCTCTTTGGGTGGGTGGGTGTCCTGGGGTTTGTATCACAGCTACCTTTTATTTATTTATTTATTTTTTAACAGCTATCAAATCCATGAGCAGTCCAACCAATACTGAACAGTTCTGGTTCTGCAGGTTATCTGGGCTCTTAATCATCTTCTCCTTCATCATCTGTCTCTCTCTTCCTCTTTTCACCTTTCCCGCTTTCTTCCTCCTCTGTACAACAACAAAAATCGGCTGTGAGACCATTGGAAAGGTTCTCCCTAGTGCACTGCTAATGGAGGCAAGTAACTTGCGGGTGGATGGCAGATAAAACAGTGCAAACTTGATCAAATCAATAGGTTAAAGCCTGTCTCCTCCTTTGTAAGACAGGGACAACAGTACTGACACAAAAGGGTTACTCTGAGAATGACACAAGACACCAGCATGGACATAAATAATAAACAACCTATACAGCCAACTGGGCACGCCTATAATCCTAGCTCTTCAGGAAGCTGAGTCGGAAGGATCCCTTGAGTTCAGGGGTTCAAGTTAGCTGGGAAACACAATGAGATCACAGTCAAAAATAATAAAACAGGATTCCTTAGGGCACTTTCTTGGCTATTTTACTAAAATAAATCTATGTTAAAATTCTGCTCCTAAAAGCTCTTTAAAGGCAGTGACCAAGTCCTAACCAGTATCATGTCCAGTGAAAGTTTAGTCCAGCGCCTGGCACAAAGCGGGTGCACAGTGAGCATGAAGCACTGTAAAGCACAGAGGCCTAAACTACCAGAAGAAGCCATACTTTCAACACGCACTAAATAAATAGCAGCCATTTCACTTGGTTCAATATGGTGGGAGAGGCTACCTTCTGAGAAAAATCAGGATCCGATCATCAAGCCTATTTTTATTTTTGGCGGGGGGCGGGAGGGCGGTGGGGTAGGACACTAGTTTGAACTCAGGGCACTGCACTTGGACAGCTGGTGCTCTACCGCCTGAGTCATACCTCCAATCTATTTTGCTCTGCTTATTTTGGGAGGTGGGACCTCTCTATTTGCCTGCAGGCCTCAAACCTTAATCCTCCGGATCTCAACCTCCCAAATAGCTAGGATTCTGACGTGAACCTCCTACGCCCGGCTAAGCCTTGTTAATGGAATAATTCAAAACAAAAAATGTCCAGCAAAAACCAATGATTAGTTTTACAAACATTTAAATATGGAGCCCAAGGATTACAAGCCCTCAGTATCATAACTGTGGTTCATGGCCCTAGGGCTGCACCAGCACAACTGCACTAATGGGACAAAAAATTGGGGTAGAACGCAGGGACCAAGAATGTCTTATCCTCAGTGGGATCAAGTTCTAAAGGACAGACATCCTCACCAAATTTTTTAACAGAGGAGGACTGAACTGCAGGGATTAGACCCACCTTCATCCTCATCCTCATCCTCCTCCTCCTCATCTTCATCAACTTCTCCATCATGCCCAAATTCTTCTTCCTGAAGAACAGTATACAACATAACATTGTTAGATTAATTCTGCCAAATTGAGAAGCACAAAGAGAAATATACTTGTAAATAAACATAACAACATATCAGAGAGAACCGTGTTATCTTTGTCTATTTTGCTGTAGTGAGATGTTGATTTTCCTTAATGAGCTCAATTTTGCTTTTTCCATTTTTGGTGGTACTGGGGTTTAATCTCAGAGCCTCACACTGGCTAGGCAGACGCTCTACCACTTGAGCCATAGCCCCAACCCAATGAGCGCATTTAAAAATGAAAGGAAAAAAAAAAATAGCAGTAGGGGTTGGGGGCATAGCTCAGTGGTAGAGCAATTGTTCAGCATATGCAAGTGTTAGGTTGGCTCCCCAACACTACCAAAAAAAAAAAAAAAAAAAAAAGTCTCCATACCCCACCTTAAACTGGGTGTAGTGGGACACATCTGTAATCCCAGCACTTGAGAGGCTGAGGGAAGAAGATTACAAGTTCGAGGGCAGCCTGAGCTACATAGCAAGTCTCTGACTCAAAACATTAAGAAGCAAGCAGTTTGTTTGCCAAACATGTTTTTGTTATTTTGAAACAGAATCTTAGTATGTAGGCTAGTCTGAACTCCTGGTCCTCCTGCCTAAGTCTCTCAGGTCCTGGGATTATAGGCATGCACTACAATGCCTGGCTACATTCCCATTTTTATACAAAGCTTCCTTAAGGATCTTAAGTTATCACATGCTTATGATTGTAAAATGCTATACTTTTATAATACTATGAAAACATATTCTCTGTCCATTTTGTTTCTCAAACCTCCGTGAGGGCTGAAGCTAAGCCACTGCTTTTTCTAGTCCTCATATAGATACCCCTGAGTACTCAGGGATACTGTATTACTGGGTGTCCCATAAACTGCACTGCTCTTTCAGGGCAGGACCACATTCTGTGGGGTCAGTATTTGTTGAATAAAAGAGAATATAGGAGATCAGACTTGATAAATATTTCCATTCAATACAACAAAGGAACCAACACACTATCAATTCTCAGTATTTTCAGTTCTTTCACCATATTGAACACGCAACTCATTTCTTCCTCTCAGAGCTCCAGGGCCAATTCCAGGAATGGGGGGGTGGGTGATGGGTAAAGGAGAATGATGATGGAGGGGTGAATTCAACTATGATATATTGTAAGAATGTCTGTAAATGTCACACTGTACCCCCAGTACAGAGCCAAAACTTTCTCTGCAGAGTTGAGCACTGTGTCTGGTTAGCACTCAGTAGGCATTCCATTTCATGTTTAAAGGGGGACATAAGCGGCATTAAGGCTCACATTAGAAAGTCAGGTCAGGAACACTTTGCCTTGTCTTTCTTCCTAACTTACACTTTTGCTTTTACTACAATTAGGAGGCAGGGCAGAAAACAGATACACTGACCTCACCACTGACTTCATCTTCATCTTCTTCCCCTTCTACATCTTCGTCTTCATCTTCATCTTCTTCTTCATCAAAGTCTTCCTCCTCACCATCCTCATCCTCCTCGTCCTCCTCATCTTCTCCTTCTAAAAACAGTCCAAAAAGGAATTTCGCTAAATACCACTGATGTGCCACAGGGTATACCTGCAAAGGTGTACAGGGGCCAAGGGCTGGTCTGCAGGACAAATGCTGGGCTGTACCTGTAGCAGGAAGACTTGCAGCCACCCTCTTTCTAACCAGGTGCCAAAGTTCAGCCCTTAGTCCAAGAGAGAGCACCATAAAATCAGGAGGCTCCAGTTCAAGTGGACTAGATGTGCACTACCACTCTTACTGATGAAAGGACGTAACGTTTGGGATTTGCTTCAAAATAATACAGGAAGGGCATTGGGCAGGGATATGCATTGGTAAAACAAGATCAGTTATGGCCAATCAGTGCTCAAGACAAGTTATGGCAACATGGGGGTTTATTTCATTATTATTTCTACCCTTGTTGATATCTGAAATTTTCTACAAAAAAAAAAAAAAGGGAGGAGGGGGCGCAGAAAACAGGCCCCTTCTCTTGGGAAATGGTGCCTCAGAGCCAGCTGCTCTAACAAGAACCTGAAAGAGTCCTAAAGCCATGTGGTCACTGGGTGACCAGGTGCCTCTGGACATCTGCGCTCCCACAGCATTCTTGCCCTGTTGCCCTCTAGTCCAGTTCAGGCGGCAGCTCCTCCTCCACTGGTCCAAATCCACTGTGTTCTCCCTGCCTTCTGCCCGCTCTGCCCTTTCCTTCCTGCTTGCCTGACTCCCACTAACCTTGACTCTTAAGCCCCTCACTTCCTTGGCAGACTTACTAGAGCTGTATATCCCAGGCTAAGGCTCACTCTGGCAGCTGGGGCTTCTCCATGACAGCTCACTTTGTAACTATTATTTACTGATGTTTAATGAGAAAGACTTCTCCTCAGTAGGCAGTAATTCCCATGCAGAGAGGACCAATGACCCCAACCCCCTTTTGAACTACTATTTCCCACATGCCTGGCCCATAGTAAGAGTTCAAATACTTGCTGCCCGGCTGGGGTGGCCCAGTGACAGAACATATGCTTAGCATACGGGACCCTGGGCTCAATCCTCAGTGACTCCCCCACAGCAAACTTGCTGCCTGGCTGGGTCTGCCCTTAGGAACTGCCCTCCACTCTCCCCAGAGTTTCTGCCAGGTTACAGTAAACGAAGACAAGAAACACAAACAGCTTTTAGGAATCGCTGGAAATCTGCAGTGCAGGGACCAACACACGTAACATTTGGAGCTGGATAAACAACCTTACTCTGTTTATTGACCCCCCTGAGCCCATTAATTTTTGCCTATTTCAATATGCTAGAAGACAAAAATGCTTCCAGTCTATACAATTGCACCCAAGCTGCCTAGTGTTTTTCCTCCTCCATTTTCTTGGCCATTTCCGTCTTGTGCTAATTTTTTTTTTTTTTTTTTTTTGGGGTGTGACTGGGGTTTGCACTCAGAACTTTGAGGTTGCAAAGCAGGTGCTCTAGTAGTTGAACCGTACCTCTGAACCATTTTGCAGACGGGGTCTCACAAACGATTTGCTTGATCTCAACCCCTAACTAACTAGGATTACAGGTGTGAGCCACTGGCACCTGGCTTGTGTGTTAATTTTTAAGGAAAAGAGATGTTTAAAGTAATAGCACAAGGGCCAGGGTGTGGTGGTACTTGCCTGTAATACCAGCAACTGGAAGGCTGAGGCAGGTAGACTGTATGTTTGAGTACTACAAAGCAAAACCCTGTCTCAAAAAGTAAGACAAAACACGCCAAACGCAGCACAAACACAATAGCATCAGGGCTGCTTGAACCACAACCTCTAGCCCTGTTTGTTTTATTTTTCAGATAGGGTGTTAAGTTTTTGCCTAGTCCAGCCTGGATCTCAATCTCCCTACCCAATGTTTCCCACATAGTTGGGATTAAAGGAGCCACTGCACCTGGCAGATTTTTCTTTTTCTTCCTCTTTTTTTTTTGAAACAAGGACTCACTATGTAGCTGCAGGCTGCCCTCAAACTCACCATCCTGTCCCAGTCTCCCGAGTGCTGGGATTATAGAAGTGTGTCATTTTGACTGAAAAGTATGTCCTAAGCAGAGTACCCTAGCCTAGCTTGTGGGTCAGGGAGTACTTCCTGCAGATGCTAACAAAGCTGAGCTTTGGAGGTTAAGTAGGCAGTAACCAAGAGGACAGCTGGGAGAAAAGCATGGGGCATGTGAGACTGTAGGTTCTTCAAGTACATTACAAGGACTTCAATGGGCTATATGGCATAGTCAGTGATCTCTAGGGGCTCCAAATATCGAGGGTCATCTGTTAATGAACCATTTTTATTTTCAATCATTAAGGCTACAATGTTCTAAGAGTTTATTAAAATAAAATAAACAGAGGTCCAAGTTCCAAATTTCATGGAGTGCCTACATGTACTTTCCTCAACAGCAAGAACATTCAGTAGTTTTTATCAGGAGCTTGGAAAAAGAGAACTCAGGGTCACTAGATGCCACATCCACTAACCTTCATCCTCCTCCTCTTCATCCACACCATCCACCTCTGCATCTGAGTCAGGAGCTTCCCGGTCCTCTCGGTCATAGCCGTCCAGGTAGGTCAACTGGGGCAGGAGCTTGAAGACGCTCTCTCGGTAGTCATTCAGGTTAGTGACCTCACAGTTAAACAGATCCAGGCTTTTCAGACAGTCCAACTTTTTCTGAAGGAAGGGATTAAAAAACACAACTCTAAACCAAAGGAACATAAACAACAAAACCCATCTCTTAGAGGTAAAAATTCTCAGCTCCATATCAACTAGGTGCTACTCTCTCAGCCTTGTACATAAAAAAAAAACAAAAAGTTCCGTGCCACCTTCATATCAGCCTATCAGCCTTTAACTAGTTCCTCTCTTTCTGTAGCTACTCTAGCAGAGAACTATCTCTTAGCAGCATTAGGAGTCTAAGCCTGAAGTCACAGCATGAGATGATTGACAGCTTAAAATTTTCTGATCAAAGATTTACAATAGGTGCTTACAATTAATTCTATTTGGGAAAGAGACATGAAACACCAGAGGATGGTCTATAATAAAGCATGAATTGTGGCAACATAGATAGTATTTGTAGGAAAAACAGGACTCAATGCAGGGTGTGGAAAAGAAGGGGACTTGAGTTGAAATTTTAGAAATACAAACATTACATTATTTTCTTTTTTGAAGGTCTGGGGAAAAGATGGACACTATTACCAGACTTAAAATTGTACTGATTTTGCCATACTTGGAAATTTTGTTGCCATCTTATTTGAAATAATCAATTTCATCTATCTAAAACAGTTAAGATCTAAAAAAACGTGGCCCAAGAAGAGTTTTCTGAGCAGCCAAAGTACTTAGGAAAAGACGTACATGTATCTGTCTCAGATCCTGATTTGTTATATCACATCAACGTACAAGTATTTCAATTCCAGGTCTATTAAATTTCAATTAAGAGTGAATTAAGAGATTGAGGTCAGAGGTACTATTATAAGCAAGTCAAGAGACAGTAACAGGTGACGGCAGACCCTCCTAGGCAGAAGAGGGAGTGGCCAATAAGAAGCACACAAAATGTAATAGTATATAGCCTGGTGTCTCCCAGAGCAGGGCAATAAGCTTGGAGCACATATGATTATAGTTTCATAAATGTAAACATTATATGGTTCTGAATCAAGAGAAAAAGTTTGCTATTCTCTATGAAAATTACACTAAGACCCCCAAACATTAATAGGACCTCTGCATGAAATAAGTTCTAATAAAATAAATGTTGATGCTTAAAAGGTTTTGGGTGCTTTGTCTGGAAAGCTATTAACATACACAGGACTTGGGAAGAAGTACAGACAAAACAAAACCTTGTTTTCAGAATGTGAGTTATCTATGTAATCCTGGAGATAAAAAACTGCTTTGAAAATCTGCTTTAGAGCTCTAGAGCAGGAGTTGGCAAGCCACAGTCCACTGACTAATTGTAGCTCACCACCTGCTTTTTGCAAAAGCAACGTTTATTGAAACACAGTCATACTCATTTGTTCATGCTTTACACATGGCTCCTTTAGGACTACACTGACATGAGTAGCTGTTACAGAGACTGTATGTCCTGTAAAGTCCCATATATCAGCTACGTGTGTGGCCTGTCAGGAAGAAGGGCTGCCGACCCTACATGTAAAGAATCTTCATGTCCCTAGTCAGGAAGAGGTCCCACACTGGTTTAATTCTCAGTGTCATCCCTTACAACAGAGCCAGGGAAGACACAGAGCAGGGTTTCAGCAACAGGTACATGTTGTACCCCTCAAAACACAAAACGTACAATGCTTTCGCATCTGTGACAAATAACGTGCTTACATAAGCCAGCTACATGATGTCTGAGAAGGCTGTCCCCAGCCCCGACAGTCCTACGGAGAGCTGCTTTTGTATCGAGTAACTTTCAGATTGTGTATCCTACTGGGCAGGTCCTGACCTCCAGAAGCCCAGCTGTGACTTCTTGCCAAAAAGTGCAAAATGCTACATCACCCAAATAACCAGCACAGGACACTGGCTTTCTTTCTTTTTTTTTGAGACAAGGTCTTGTTATGTAGCCCAGACTGGCCTTGGACTCGAAATCCTCTTGCCTCAGCTTCCCCAGTGCTAGGATTACAGGCAGGAACCACCATACCCAGCTACAATACTGGCTTTCTGTTGTTTACCAAGGCCATCTCTACACCAGTGAAGACACAACCAAAAGTAAATTTAAGCAGCTTTTCCGAAGAGGTTTAGTTTTTATAAAACCAACAAACAAACAAAAAAAAAACCTTTTTTTTTTTTTTTTAAAGCCAGGTTGGCCTTAAATTCAAGATCCTCTGGCTTTGGTCTGGATTATAGATGTAAAGTGCCTCACTCAGCTTGACTGAAAAATGTTTATTTCAAAGACTTACAAGTACAAGGTCCTGAGTTCAAACCCTAATACAAGGGTTGGGGGGTGGGGGAGAACCAAACAACAATAACATCAACAACAACAATAATAATAATAAAAACCAGACTGAGCCATTTACATCTCTAAATTCTTTCCTAGGAATGGGGGCATAAAAACACATGCATCCTCTGATATTTATCTAAAAGTGCTTTACAATATCCATGCCCTGTCTCTACTTTCATCGTCTGTCCTAGTATATAACGCCATCAGGCTTAACTAGTTTTGAATTATGTGAACCTGAGATTTTTGGCTACTTCATGACAAATAATTTAGACATGCCAAACAGTATGCAAGTAAATAACAATTTCTAAATAAATATAGCACTCTAGAAGTGTTTAAAGTAGTAAAATTGTGCTTAATATCCAAAGGCACAAAATACAGATTATTCAGGATCCCAATGTGCTAAAAGATTTACAACTCTACTGTGCCAGATATTTGGCCTAAGCTAATAGGCTAGCCATAATAAACATTAAACATTTTATTAACAATAATTTTGCTTGCCTTCTTAGAATTTAGAAGGGCTTTGGGGGATGGTTTGGATGGCCCAGGTCTCTTAAAAAAGGTGTCCAAGGAAGATTGAATTGATGCCTTCTTTGTCTCTCGATTAATGTCCCTGTAGCAAGCAGAGGCATTCACAATCATTGCAGTGACTGTAAGAACTGGGCTTGATGTAGTGTTCGAAATGTATGTGGTTGATGAGGATGAGGATGGTGTTTTCCCCACTGAAGAGTACTATGAGGAGTCAAAATGGACCCAGCATCTCCCCACTTCACCATCTCCTACACATCTACTTTATTCCAAGTTAGAGCCTCAGGGGACCAACCTTGAACCCCCAAGGAGTCTGAGCAGCAAGTAGAGCATAGTGGTGGAGCTTGGTGTGTAGCATGGTGGCTCTGCCAGAGGACAAGGGATTCAGCCTCACCAAGCCTTAGCTTCTTCAATGAAAAATAAGGGCCCTATTATTTCTACCCACTTTGTACAGGTATCATCATAGCAGATCCTTTGAAATGGCAAATACAACGAAGAGGATTTCTCATCCTTCCTGTCCTGGGGGACTGAGACTTTCACAGCCCCCATACATTAGACAAGACAGGAGCACTTGAGCAAAACAACTCCCATGCAGTACTTGCTTCTGTGCTGCCTGTGTGTGTGAGAACACCAACAGGACAATTCAGAGGACCCAAGTGGCCATGACAATGAGGAACAGCCAGTCCTTTAGCGTGGGAAGGTACTGTTTGGTACTGTTAATAAAAGGGGGTGGGGTGGGTTGTTCCTGCTCACAGTGGGCCCAGAGTCAAGACCCCATCACCAATTAATAAACAAAGGCTTAGTGCTGTCACCTGACTGTGGGAGTGTCAGCACTTAGTGCTCTGTTGGAATTCCCAGCTTGGAGAAATAAGAGTATGGAATAAATTAAGAGACAGAAGGGTTCCAAGGGCAGTGAAAAATGCAGTGCGCTTGGGTCTGAGCTTTCTGAAGTCAGTTTCCTCACATCTCCAAATAGAGGACAGTCATTTTCTCTTACATGAGGATACAACAGGCAAATGTTAATGTTCTTAGATAAAGCTAAACTTGATAAATGCTTAATCACTGGAAACAGGGACTGGCTTGGAGAAAAAGTTCTTAAATATCACCTCATGAAATGTAAAAATAAAGGGCACCAGTAAAAGGTAGTTAAATCTGTATTGCAACAGTCTCAATTATTGATCAGGAGGAAAAAGCCCCGTTTAATTCTGGCAGGAGATCCTCTTATTAAAAGAAGTCACAATTTAACTCTGCCTTCCCCTGAAATATCAATAGGGCATTCTTTACTATTGTGAAGCCCAGTTATTTTAGTATACTGTGGTATCAGACTTCTCTTGGGCTCTGCTCCTCCAGACCCTGAAAGAAAGCTTCTACCGGCTGCATGACCCTCACGTAGCACAGCCTGTGACACTGCCCCACACCTGCATCACCCCTGCCTTTCTCTGGAAGCTCGTTTTTGGCCACAACTTCTACAGGGACTGGACTCATTCATCAGTACAGCTTTTCAAACTACAAAAGTAAATCCATTACCTGACTTCATCCTCAGAGCCCTAAGTAAGGCAGCTGTCACTGTCCTCCCATCTTCTTAAATGAGGAAACTGAGGCCCAGAGAGAAGCAATTTGCCCAAGGTCACACAACAAGTCTATAACCCAAATGGCACTTAAAACTTAGCTTTAAGTGCCATTTGGGCACTTAATTAATTTATTAATTTAGCTTAATATGTAAGACTGAGATAGATCTAGGGGTTTGCACACAAAATTTTAGGCACTGGTGATCCTGTAGAGCATGCCTCATGAATTCTAAGACCTGAAACTTATTGGAGCTGCCCCTGATTATTTCAATAGTTTTCCCTGTTAAAGTATAAACGTATAGGATAGCTAGCTACTCTGGGGTACAAAACTTTAACAGACAAGCTTAAAGCTGTTGTAAATGATTTGAAAAGGACAAAAACCAACACCTAAGATTTCCCCTTTGAAGGATGCCACCACAGTATCAGGCAGGGAGAGCAAAGCCACAGGAATACACATAAGTAGAGACCCAGACTCCTATTAAAAAAAAAAAAAAAAGATTCCGAATCTTTTTCCCCCACTATAAATATGAAAATGAAAATGACCAGTAACTCTGTGTTCAAATTCTCAGTTACTTACCAAAGGTTCTAAGGTGCTGATATCTTTCAGTTTATTTCCACTTAAGTTTAGATGTGTGAGATTTGGAAGTTTTTCTGCTAACATGTCCAGACCTCCCAAGATTCTATTGTCACTTAGCTCAAGCTGAAAAGAAAACACACACACACAGAGAATCACATCATGAAGGTGCTGTTTGTTTTTTAGTACTGGGTTGAACTCAGGACCTTGCCCTTGCTAGGAATGCACTATACCAGTCAAGCCAAGCCATACCACCTGTCCCCACCCCCCCCCCACACTTTATTCCTGTGTTTTCCAGATAGGGTCTTGAGTTTTTGTCTGGGCTGGCCTTAGACCTCCATGCTCCCACATATGCCTCCTGCACAGTTTGGCATTATAGGCATGTATCCTCATGGTTGGTTCACAAAGAATTTTCTCCACCCCCTCTTTTTTCTTTGGTTTGTACTCAGGGATTCACACTTGGAAAGGAGGTTCTCTATTTTGCTCTGATTATTTTGGAGATGGGATGTTGGGAACTATTTGTGCAGGCTAGTCTCAAACCATAATCATTCTAATCTCAGCTTCCCAAGTAGCTAGGATTACAGATGTGAGCTGCTGGTGCCTAGAGTTTTCAAATACTTATCAAGACCAAATAACTCCTATTTCTATTAAGGCAAGGATGTTCATTTTGTTTGGTTAAATCCATTAAATAGTTTACAGATCCCAGTAACATTTGGGATGGGGGTAAAGGACAGGACAAAGTGAGAAGTGTTTCCTTAACAAGCTAGCTGCTAATTACAGTTTGCTCAAGAATTGACCTCTAACATTTCATGAATACATTTTCTAGCCTAAAATGTAGGTCAAAGTAAGTAAGAATTCTTTAAGTTGTAATGCTATTTATCTGCCAGAAAGGGTAAATGGTCTGGGCATTGTGGGGAGCTTACTCTGTGTGCCAAGGCAAGATTGCAGTGCCCACTTCAAGCAAGTAGTTTTGGACAGTGCTGACATACTGTGTGGTTCAGTATCAGGAAGTCACTGGAGTGTTACTCAGAAAGCATCAGGAGTGAGACAGGCTCCAGAAACAAGCCCATGAAGAAGCTCCAAGACCTCAGGAAAGCATGCGTGCATAGGGACAGTGGTAAATGCAGGTGCATGAGGCCCTGGGTTTAATCCTAAGCACCAAAAAGAAAGGGGTGTGTGGTAGGGGGTAGAGCAACGGCCTCAGGTTTATGAAACTAGCTCCCTGCAGGCTACTTCTTGCAATAACCTGGTAATGGCCTTTGCAAGAACTTTAATTCCTTAGCTGCAGGTCAAGTAACATAGGCAAGTGGTATGCCAATGAAGGAGTGAGCCTTCACGGAGAAGTAACAATACAAGGAATCGGAGCCTGGAAAGCACAGTGGAAAACATCAATTTCAAGCTCTCCTTTAGCAAATGAAAAAACATCAGGCTACACAGCTGGTTCTAATTCTCTATTTAAGTGGTAATGACAATGGTAACTGTATCTAACCCTTACCTAGTACTTAAGGGCCAGGTACTATTCAAAGCACTTTTCGTTAGTGCATTTGATCTTACAGCAACCCTAAGGGACAGGAAGAATTATTACCCCCATTTACAGATGAATAAAATTAAGTGCAAAGATGTAACTGGCCCACGATCTCATAGTTGTCACCATTTATTTTTATATATTTTATATATATAAAAATATATTTTTTAAATATATTTTATTATAAATTTATTTTTTATTTGCATCTTTGTTTAAATAAAAGTTCAGGTTAAGTTCTCTAATACACTGAATGCTGAATCAGTGGTGAATTTTGCAAAAATTTATATAACCACATGATTCTTCAATGGAATGAAAAAGATACGGGGTTGAATCACGGTCCTAGTTTTGGCTCTAACACTAACCACTTCTGTGTGTGGCTTTAGGCAAATTGCTGTCTTTCTGGATTTATGGCTGCACCTATAAAATAAGGAGCTGGTCCAGAGGATGAAAGTTTCTCCCAACTCTGACATTCTCGTGCTCTGAGACAGTCAAATATATAAGAACAAGAGACATTCTTGAGCATTCTGTCCTTGTGGGAGGGGAAGGAGATAGAGGAGATAGAAAATGGTTATTATTAAACTATATAGTACCAACAATGGGACATGACTAGAGTAGGAAGACATAGCACTTGTTTCAGTGAATTCTTCCAGTCAACCCCAAAACATTTCAAACTTTCTAGTCATTAAGAATTATACAATGGGTTTGAACTCAGGGTCTTGTGCTTGCTGGGCAGGTGTTGTACCACTTGACCCATGCCCCCAGTTCTAAAGCCTTTACTTAAGCTTATCCTCCATCAACAAACATAAAGCACAGAGCATGGGAGGCATGTGTGGCTCTTGAGCTAGAGCATTCTAAGAGAAAAACCTAGATAATATTATATTTCTAACAATTAACAGATTATTTATAAAATAAGGATCCTTCATAACTATTTCCAAACACCACTGCAATTCTGCAAGGTCAAGTGGTACTGCCAGTTTACAGGTGAGGAAATAGCCCAGGGAGATGAAGTAACCCATTGAGGAAGCCACAGAGCTGAAATCCAAGCCAGTACACCTGCCTCATTCCGAAGGCTCTGTGCTTTCTGCTACACTAAGTACTTCCTTCAGGCAAGACTATACATTTTTCCCTTCTCAGAATAGTTGTCTTTTACCTAAAGAAAAAAAGCACTCACCTTTTTCAATTTAGGTAGCTTGGGGAGATTTGAAACTGCAATCAAGCCTACACTTATTAAACTGAGGAACTCTAAGTTCACAAATTCGGCTGTTAGGCCCTCAATTTTTCCATCATTTGATTTGCAATTGTCCAAGACAAGTTCTCGAACCTGTGGAAAACAAAGAAAAAAGGGGACAGCTTTCAAAATCATACTAGGACACAAGGAAAAAACTCCAACCATAAATACTCCCCCATAAAACACATACAGGGACAGCCTTTTACTTAAATAGGATCTACCTATAAATAAATGAAAAATGATTAGGCCCTAAGTACAACATACTAAGAGATTCAAAGATGGGATGTGAATTCATGGTATAAATAATGATTTATATGCTATATTCCACAAATAAACTGCAGTTCTCAGGATATAAGTAAAGAAAAGTATGTCTCCCTATCCCTCTTCCCAAGGCTGTTCTTAAAGGAGTTTTTTTCTTAAGTCCAGGTGCAGAGTGAAGATACCTATTCAGGCTGTCTATCACAAAGCCCAGGACAGATGTGACCACAGGAAAAAAGGAAAGTCTTACTTTTCTTATCAAGATCATTAAGTTCTGACTAAAGGTTTCTACTCTAACACTTTCCAACTCTCCCTTCATCTACTAATCTATACTAGCATTATGTTGACACTGGAAGGAATCAAGACACAAGAGTCCTTAATTCAAAATGAAGACCCATCTGGGTTACATATAAGAAACATCTTTCTAGGGCAGAAAACTGTTAAAACATTGTCCCTTTTCAGGACTTAAGGTCTACCTTTTCAGAATTCAAACCCATCCAAGTATTTCATAGTTGATGATTTTGAAAACTATTTAGTAGCCCACTGTACAAATCTACCATAATTCCTGTTACCCTCCTTCCTGTGTTGCCAACACATTTTGATCTATCTACAGTGATGCAAATTATAGTTTAAACTGCCCCACAAAAACATTTTTGCATGATACTACCATGTTTAATAGCACTAAACAAACATGCATATGGGACACACTGAGTCTGAAAAGAGGAGGAGCTAATAAGTCTTTTTCCTTCCGTACAAATCCAGTGATATTACTCCAGTGATGGCAGGCAACTGTGGTATACATACTGGTTTGGTTCTTCTCCTTTTCACAGGGAACAGATTTGAAGTTAGTGATGCCTAGGAACACTTATTGCCTCCCCACCTCTCACTACCCTGTCTACTTCCTCTTAAGAATCCTCGGTTTCAAAATGCATGAAGGCCTATTATCATTTGCTTCTTCCTTCCACATTTCTACATACCTTTGCCATTATTCCCTCTTTGAAGAACAACATATCTGAAAACTCACACCTGTAATTCTAACTACTCAGGAGGCAGAGATGAGGAGGATCAAAGTTCAAAGCTAGTCATGGCAAACAGTTTGCAAGACCCCATCTTGAAAAACACAACACACAAAAAAATGGCTGGCAGAGTGCCTGCCTAGCAAGTGTGAGGATGCGTGCATCACCCCCCCTCCCCGCCCTAATAGTAGTACCTGGACCAAAGAAAATGCTCAAAGGGTAATTTCTGGGGATAGGGAGTGTCAGAGACTTCTGCTGTTTATTTTATTTATATCTCTACCATCTAAGGTTTAAAAAAATTTGACAAGTGTGTATTTATACATTTAAAACACTAAAGGTAAAACCAACAATATGTATGTAGCCTCTCTGCTATATCACAAAACCTGCTCTCCAACAGACAAAAAACCCATCAGAGCATTCAAATGTGGATTAGAACATGTTTACTGAATCCTACAGCAGAAATGAAATCACAAAAAGGCAACTGGGGAGAAAGGCTGTTAAAATGACTGATATGTGTAGGTTTAATTGTTGAGTATGGAAAATGATGGAAAGTTTAAGGTTCTGGTTTAGAGAACTGGGAATCTACAAACTAGGTATTGTGGTTGCAAGCCTATAATCCCAGCATGCAGGAGGCTGAGGCAGGAGGATCAGGCCACCAGGATGGGCTATACAGTGAGTGAGACCCTGCTTTTAAGGGAAAAAAAAAAGAAAGGAACAGTTTTCCTTGGGGACCATAATGAATCCCACCAGGGATACCAAGTTTAAGGTCCCATGAGATGCCCAGATAAAAATATCCACAGCCAGTCAGACTTATGGGTCTGGAGGTTATGGGAGGCCTGGGATACAGTTCCGTATTTGGGAGTCATCAAGGTAGAGGAAGTGGTGGAGGCGTGGTATTTCTAGGAAGAGCATCAGGATGAAACTGGGGGATCCTGCAATGGAGACTCAAGAGGCATCAGGAGTGGCACCCAAAGCTAAAGCATTAGTTTCAAACACCTGGACAGGTTTATAAAATAAACACTGTAGTCTGAATTAGTGGCCTTATAAAAAGAGGTTGAGTGAACATTTTAGTCCCTTTGACCATGTGAGCACAAGCAAAAAGATGCTGTCTTTTATACAGAGAACAAGCCCCATCCAGACACTGAATCTGGTGGCACCTTTGTCTTGAATTTCCCTGCCTCCAGAACTGTGCGCAATAAATCTTACACGTATGTAATATGCATAGTATGTGCATGAATATACACACACACACACACACACACACACACACACATGTATTTTTAAAACAGGTTCTCCCAATGTAGCCCATGCTGGCTTGCTCTTCCTACCTAACCTTGCTGAGTGCTGGGATTACAGGCTTGTACCACAAAGTGTGGCTTAAAGGACACAGTTCAGCCAAAGTACACTTCTGCTGTTGTTGAGAAGCCCTCCACAACTTTTTTTTTTTTGGGCACTGCTGAACACCGAGTTCACATTCCAGCACTGCCAGGGAGAGAGGAGGAAGAAAGAGAGATGAAGGTCAGGTATGGTGGTGTATGCAATGCCAGCACTCAGGAGGCAGAGGGAGGAGGTCTGGGCTAGGAACATAGTTCAGTGGAGGAGAGATGATGGACTTTTGGTGGAGGCAGAACAGCTCTTCCTCTGTAGAAGAGGCTTCTATGACTATAGCTGTAGCTGAGTTTCAAAGTGGAAGAGCAAGTTCAAGGCCTGCATACTGAGACCCTTGACTCTCTCCATCAGTAGAAGAGAACTTATTGGGATGAACAGGGCAGAGGGCTGTGTGTCCATGAAGAAAAGGCCCATTCCCTGGTTTTTCCAGGAAGGCTGAGAATGTAAAGAAATGTGCTACCTTCCTAGAGCAGAACTCCAGAGGCCTGCACAGTAAGATCAAATGCTGAAGAATAAGCAGAGTAGGGTTGGAATTACTGCATAAGGTAGGGCCTCATTTAGGGTTGTGCTCAAATATACCAAGTCTGAAAGCCCTATCAGCTATCTCAAGTCTGTTTAACGTTCTAAATAGAACCTTAGCAGAAAGGTATTCTACTCCAGATACTGTTTCAGCAGCAGAGAAGCAGCATTTGCAGCGCAGAGGAGGTTAATTCTTTCTCCACTCTCTTAGATTCAGTGCCTGCAACTTATAAATTCAGCAAAATACAGATTAACAGAAAAAAGGTCTATATGAGCACAAGACACAAAATTCTGGTGGTCAGAATTTTGGAGGCTTAAAACACCTAACTTCAGAAAGGAAAAATAAAATGGCAATAGAGCAGATTTATTAGGAAGGAAAACAGTCAAGTAGGGGACCCCTATATACTACTGGTGGGCATGTAAAGAAGACAAAAATTCTGAAAAGCAACCTGGCAGAAAAAGAAATCCCTATGAAAGACCTAAGGAGATGATTTTCTTGTGGGAACATTGGCAGATGTAGGGGAAAAAAAAAAAGGAGGCTAGAAGATATTAAATAATAATACAGAGCGACAAAAATGCTCATTGTATAATTTTTTTAGAAGGCAATGAGGCGGTATACAAGTTAATAGCATGATCCAAGTTTGGAAAAAGTAAGCCTTGTGAAAGATTACATGCTAAAATGTAGAGATGACAGGGTGAGTGTGGTATGATTTCTTTCTTTTTGCTTATCTATATCTAATTTTTCAACAAAGATGTATTACTTATACAAAGAAAGAAACACCAATTAGTTGCTATGCAACTAATTAAGAGCATCAGCTTGAAATTATATCACAGAAGACAGCAGATGCCGAAAGGTGTGTGTGTGTGTGTGTATGTATGTGTGTGTTGCTACAAAAAAAGAAAGATGTAAACTCAGCAAAATCTAAATTTCCTCCCCCTTAAACTAGGACTAAAGGGGCTGGAAACTGCTCACAGTAGACAGCCTGCTTAGCAAATCTAAAAGCCCTGAGTTCAAGTCCCAGTACAGAAAACAGTAACAAAAAAAACTCCTAGGACTAAGAAAAGACTACACTTATTGGATATCACAGTGCAGCATACAGCACACCAACACTGGTCTCACAGGGGCATTTTTTTAACCTCAGGAAGGAACTACTTGGTTTTCTAACTTTGAATGAAAACTTAAAACAGCACTGATCTGAAGGCAAGAGTCCCTAGAGGCAGGGTTGATAGGTGCGATACTGGCAATGTCAGACAGAGCAGCATAGGAGGGTACTGGAAAGACAAGAGCCTCACATAGGGAAGAACAGGTATTCTTTTCCAATCTTGGAACACAACTAGATTTGGCTTAGCACTTGCTACTGCATGCCGGTGTCCTCTCATTCTACTGGCAGTACCACCGATTTGGGGCATATATGGCATATTCTAGCACTGTACAATTTATTGTCAGTGAAGCAGCTAAGAATACACACACACAGACTGCTGAGTTTGCTAGGCAAATGCTCTACCACTGAACCACAACCCCAGCCAGTAACGGATGGTACAGGAACTATTTCCTAGGGGAGAGGAGTGTAGCTCACTGTAGAGCACATGCCTTGGGCTGAATCCCAACACAAACTAACCCCTCACCCCCAAATTCCTCTTCTTGCCTATTAAAGACTTCAAATGACACCACCATTCCTATGATGATTATTTTGAAACATCATTTTAGGCCATGTTTTCCACTGTGAAAACACTAAGAACTGTTGGAACTTAGAAAAAAATAATTTCTTTACAAGCTTTCTTGGGGGAAATGAATACAACTGTGTTTGTAAGGAACAGGAACAGCATAGTATGTAAACTAAACTTATTATTGTGACCTTAGGTGGTCCAGCCAAAAAAATACACAAGGTAAACATGTAAGAAACGTTAACTGGAGCAGGGCCGTAATGGCTCACGCCTATAATCCTAGCTATCTGAGGCAAATAGTTTGGAGACTCCCATCTCCAAAATTACCAGAGCAAAATGGAGGTGTGGCTCAAGTGGTAGAATGCCTGCTTTGTGAGCGTCAAGCCATGACTTCAAACCCAAGTTCCACCAAAAACTAAAAGGTAATAGCATTAAAAAAATTTTTAACTGGGTGCTCAAGCCCCAAAATAAAACAAAAATGTCATGAACACACATGAAAAGGCCATCTGGTCTTAAACAAAACTATATAGGTAAGATCAAATCCCCACTCACCTTCCCCCCTTCAAACAACTTAAGAGCTCGCTTGGCTTTGAAGTCATGAAGGTGGCGCCCAGCACGATGGTAAACACGTGTAATCCCAGAGCTCGGAGGCTGAGAGAATTTCAATTTTGAGGCCAGCCTAGACTACACAGCAAGACCCGGTTTAAAAAAAAAAAAAAACCAACAACAAAACCCAACAAAACAAAGGAGGGTGGGGGAAATAATTAAGGTAAACTGTGGGATACACTCCTACAGTCCTGAGCATCCTGTCCATACCTAACAGTACGTTCCACGGCAGAATAGGATCTTCCCGTTTCCCCAAATAAAGAGAATGCAGGGGCCGTCACCCGCCCCCTAACAGCTGACAGTGGCATCAATTTCTGTGGTGGATATGGTATGTTCTAGCACATAGTCATAAGGTGCCACATGACTACCTGACTTTAAAGGAGCCATCTTGAAGCTTCATTTGCCTTTAGGTTGACGCCTTTGAGCAAAAACAGACTCTTAAAATTCTTTCTGGGTGTGACGGTTCACACCTAGAAGGCCAGCACTTGGGAAGCTGGGGCAGGTGATTGCAAGTTGAAAGCCAGCCCAGTGTAGATCATCTTTAAACAACACAGTTTGTGTTCAAAAACCTTCCGTTTCAGGTGGAAGCTCTCTCAACCTAACACTTACAGTGGATTCTCTTCCCGGAAATGATTCTCGCCTAATCCAAGGGGCACTAGCTATGGTGTCCCAGGGCCTGTGGCCCGGGGAGGGGGGAGAGGGCACCCTGTGGGTAGTCGAGCAGTTCCCGAAGTCACTGCAGGCCCCCTAACCACTTGTTGATTTGCGGTGCTTCAAATGGGTACAGTAGGACCCACAAAGCGACTTCATTTTACTCCAAAATCACAAGGCTCTGGCGTGTCTTTGGCAAGGTCAAGGCTTAGGTTGAAAGTTAATACCTGCACATATCCGGGTACATTTAAAAAACAATGGTAACTCATACACACAAAAAGCCCGCATGCTGGCCCCGCAGGAACGTCACTCGACGGGATTTTAAAGCAAGTTGAAGCCCTCCGTGTGTGCTTTTCTTACGGGAACTTTGGCTAAATCTAGTTGCTTCGTGTTCTACGGGCGAGCATGGAAAAGTCAGAAATGAACTGAAGGCGAGGACCCAGCTCTGCACGGGAGAGGCCGCTTAACCATTCGATACGCCAGCACGTGGCGGGCACAAAATGTCTGACTGACGGACGGACAGGACGCGCGCCCGGGGAGCCCCAGGCACGCAGCCGAAGTACACGGCCAACCCCCCCGCCCCACAAACCCCCTCTGTCCCCTGGGACCGCCACGCGGTGGGGAGCGCCCCGCACCTCGGCGGCGGGGCCCTGCAGGCCGAAGACACCAAGCCTCGGTGCATCGCCGCCGACCACGCACTGAAGTTGAAGACTTGTTAACCTCGGCCACCTGCGAGCGCGAAGCGCGGCGGAGGACGCCGGCCACCCGCCGTGGCGTACGAGGTCGCCTGGGGCGAAAGCAACCCGAGCACATGCGAGGCAGGGGCTGCCGAGCCCCACGCAGGGACGGACGGGCGATGAGGCCACCGCCGTTGCCCTTTTAAGAGCGGGGAGGGGATCGGCGGCGCGCCCGCGCGGAGAAGAGTCGGCGGCACCCGCGCCGGCAGCCCGGGGACCTGAGGCCAGCGCCAGGCTGGGCGGGCAGAGCCGGCTCACGCGGCGGAGGGAGACGGCGCCCGCCAACATGGCGCTGTGGCGCGCCCCGGCTGGCGCGCGGAGCCACCGCCCGCCCACACCGAGGGGCCGGCCTCCCGGGCAGGGCCTCGGTCGGCTCGGCGCGGGGGAGGGAGAAGCGCCGTCGCCACCGCGCCGCCGCGGCAAAGCCCGAGGCCCTGCCCGGGAGGCCGGAATGGGGAAAAGCGAAGGCGGAAGAAGAGCAAAGCGAACGGGGGAGAAAGTTTTATTTTTAGGCTTGAAAAATGGCGGGAACCGCAGCCTTTTTTCAAACTTGGCCTCGGGAGGGGCGGTTGCGCCACCTCTGCCGCCAGGCCCGCCCCTCCCCCGCTCCACATCAGGCCGCGCCCGCCCGGGCCCCGCGCTGGAGGGGCTTCGCGCCCCCTCCGAAAGCAGTCTCGGTCCGGTTGGCCTGCCCCGATCTGCCCGCCCGCCCGCCCTCGCGGCTTCCCTTCCTTTCTCCTTCCCGCCGGGCCCGGGCGCGTGGTGCCCTTCCCGGCCGGATATCGGGGCTGGCGGCGCGGCTCCCCGGTAGGGCTGGCCTCCACCCGGCCGCGCATCCCGCCCGGGAGGTTGCAAACATGGCTCCCAGCGTTACACAACCCCCCGTGCCCGCCCTCGCCGCCGGCAGGCCGCCTGCACCCGCGCTCCCTCCGGGCAAGGGCCCGGCGGGCGAGCAGCTCAAAGTTTGCTTCCCCCACCCGTCGCCTACCCCGCGGCCGCTGGAGCCTGCGGGCGCCAAAGAGTTAATGCCGCGCGCTCGCTCCCCCCTCCGCGCCCGCCCGCCCGCCTGCCTGCCTTCCGCCCGCCTTTGCCGTCCGAGCCGCGAGCTGCGCCTTCCCCGCGCCCCGCAGGTGGCCACCATTACGTGCAAGTCATCGGGGGCGCGGGCGCCCAGGGGCTCTGCTTACAGCTGCCGGGGTCCGGTTCCTCAGCTCCAGGTGGATCCTCTTCTTCATATCCATGTTCCCTCGTCCCCCCTCTTCAAACTTAACTTTCCGCGGCGGGGGCGGAGGGGGGAGAGGCGTCCCGGCCTGCGCGGCGAGGGCCGTCGGAAAGGTCTGCTGGAGGCAGCGGCCGGCTGTGCGGTCCCGGGCAGCGTGCGGGCGAGCGGAGCCCCCGGAGCCAAGTTACTCGCGGGAGCGGAGAGAAACCATGGAGGGAAAAGGGGGCTGGAGAGCTGCGCTTGCCTCACTACCGCCGCCCCCGGCCGCGGCCACGCACTGCGCTTAAACCGGCGACGCGACGCGGCGGCTGCTCGGCTGCACTCGGCCCCGCGCGGCGCCGCTCGGCTCGGCGGCGGCGACTGCGGCGGGGCGGGGCGGAGGCGGGGAAGGCGCAGCCCGGCAGCCGCGCCCCTCCCTCCGCCGCACGTGGGGCGGCTGATGTAAGCGCATCCTCGGGGGCTTCCCCAGCCCCCTCCGCGCCCTGGCGCTAGTCGGTGCAGGGTGGCTTCGAGGGTCCCCAAGGCCGTCCGCGGAGGCTCGCCCGAGCCAGCCTAGCCCCCGTGCAGAGGTGAAGGAGTCCGGAGTCTTGGGGTTCACTCCGCCCCCCTGCACAGTCTGGGGCCAACAGCCTGAACCCCGCAGTCCCGGTGGCCGAGGGACGTCGGAGGTGCCATCGAGAACCCCGGTTGGGTCTGAGTCGTACCGCGTGTTGCCGGGCGGAGTTGGCCTTTGGGGGACTGTGTCCCGCCTCTTGTCCAAGCCACGCAGCAGCCAAGCTTCCTCAGTTCGGGAGCATCTCCCTGGGTTTTGTTATTTTTATACATTTTAATGCAAGATAGCTAAGGAAACAATCAGCATTTCTAATGCGGTCCTGGGTTTTCCCCACAAACTTCATCTCTTTCCTTTGGGCCCCCCGGTGAGGTGTATAAATTCTCCTTGGTCTCTGCTTGGGTGAAGCCTGGCAGGCAGTCTTTGTCACTGGAGGTCCCAAGGGTTAGAGCCGGTCAGGATGAGCTCTTTGCAGACACTGGGGAGTAACGTTCTGTTCAGCAAAAAATGAGTAAATTCATTGTGTGGGGTCAGACGCCTTCTGATTTCTAGTATTGACAGGAGGCACCAAATGTAGGAACAATTCTTCAGAGAAAAAAACCTTTAAATCCTGTGCCTTAACCTAAGGTTTTATGGAGGTTAAGAAGTCCCCCTTTTCCTATTTCGGTAGCAACCAAACAGTTGAAATTTAATTTTAAATCAATAATCAGTTTTTAAGATAATGAAAACATTTCAAAAGAAAAAAAATTAGATGGTTTATGGATAAAGGCAAAAATCTTCCCATTGTGTAGCTCGGTGGGTCCTGTCATAGTCCTCGGGGGCAGACTGGGAGGGCACAAGAAGAGTATGCTCCTTCAGGAGAGTAGTTCCAAGAGGCCTGTAACTACTAAGGTTACAGGGGACACAGCCATGCAGTGAAGCTTCTAGAAAAAACCACACAACCAGGTCCATGAGCTAACAGGCCTTAGGGGTTTGGTGTATTGTTTCTTATTTAATCCCCAGACAACTGTGAAGTAGGTGATATTTTAATCATGGTACAGGTGAGCACTTCAGGCACCTTAAGCAGCTGGGCCAACAAGAGTTGGAGCTCGGGTGAGACTCACATGGGTCTGGTGCCAAAGGCTGCCATCTTTCTGCTCCCTCAACAGTCAGTCTGGATTGGAGTCGTGGCAGGGCGTACTGCATTGGTACACTAGGTTGGGAAGAACTGTAGAGGGTGTTTAATACCAGACAGCAGGCAGGCGAAGAGGAGATGTGGCAGGAGCCACAAATGTGGTCCCAGGTCTGTGCTAGAGAGGGTGGTAACGAGGTGGTATTAAGATTAGGACCTCCTTACACGAACAACTCTAGGTAGGAAGGACTCTTTCCCCATGCACAGTTCTTAAGATAAATGTGTGTTTTATGAGATTAAGCTACAAAGTAATTAATAAACATAGCCACGACGTGCAGCAAATAAAAAGAAAGCAAAAGAGCCAAAGGAGAAGAGACTACAGACCCTGCTCTGTGCCTTCCTACACAGCCGGTGCTGCCATGCCCCTCTGTGAACAAAGAGCATGTGTCCCAGTGACATGCTTCTTTGTCAGGGGCTTCACTGCCAGAGGCATAAATAACACAAGCAGAACAGGGTGTGTCTCACTGCCCTGCCAACATCCTCAGACTGTCAGTCCACAGGCCTGAAGGGGCTGTTGTCACAGGGCCTTGGTTTTGGGTATTACTGTGCTTAACTGCATTCTGGGTGTAAGGAAGATGTATAATATACCATCGTGTCTAATCTGAATTTATTACCTTGTCCATGGACTTATGGATTTGAGCAAAGGCTGGAAGGGAATAAGAAAAGTGAACAGCTTAGTTTGTTAGGGGGATTTAAACTATGGGTGGATTTCTTTTTACTTCCATTGATGTTAAGTAATAAAAACTGCAAGTAATGCCAGGCCATAGCACCCCTTTGAATCTTAAAACTGCATATTTATCGGGCTGTGTGTGTATTCCAGTATGCTCTAAAATGTGTAAGGACTCTCTGAGCTGGTTAGTAACTCCTTGGAGCTGCTTCTCACCCCAAATCTTCTTAGGACCCGAACCTCCCACCAATGTGGTTGTGAACAGACTGAAGCCTGAAGGTGGGAGGAAACCGCTCCACACAGGCATTGGTTTAACTGGCTTTGAAACTGGTTTAATAGAATGGACACATTCTATCTTTAATAAAGACAGTATATGAAGTTGGTGCAGAATAAAGGGTAAGGAAATCATTCCTCTTTAAATGCTAAAAACTTCCACTCTTCCTCTTCTCTCCCATATGCGTGTGCACATGCTGATAAGAACAAGTCTCCTTGTCTCTACAACATAGTGTGGGCCCCTCTGTTAAGAGTTAGACAACAGGTGAGGGGAGAGGGAGGGGGCAGAATGGGTGTTAAGGGAGGGGGTGGGGGGGGAGAAATGACCCAAGCATTGTATGCACATATGAATAATAAAACAATAAAAATTAAAAAAAAAGAAGTTAGACAACAAATGGTAATCACCGAAAGATCTAACTTCTTGGTTACCTTCACTTATTTCTGGATAAGAATAGAGTGGAGGAGTTTGGGGTCATCTTTAGAACACAGTAGATACTCTGCAAATGTGTGTTATGTTGACAATAATGCCAAATATACTAAAAACTGCCATCTTGACCTTAGGTTGTTGATACAAGGGAGAGAGAGAGGCAAGTGGTTAGGTGAAAATGTGCTAAGGAATGAGACCCTATTAGTCCCCACAGGGTCAAAACAGAAGAGGGCGGGTGTAGGGTGTGCAGGCAGCTCCAGGTCCACTGAAGGTCTCTGTCAAGGGAACCAGATTCCTTTCTGCTCTCAAACCAGCTGTAGGTGCCAGGCCTTCTGCAAGGCAGAGCTGGCTACCAAGAGTCAGGTCTAATCGTTATTAAGCGCTGTCCCTGTGGCAAGTACTGTTTATTGGGATGTTTGTGCACATTGCTTCTCAGTTAATCCTGGCAACAGCTCCTTGGGACAGAAGAATAACCCACCCTTTCTAGTGTTTAAGAAACAGGCACAGTGAAGCCAAGTGGGTTTGCTGCAACTCACAGAGCTAGTGAGAAACTCAGTTTCTCTGTCATTAAGAGCTCACTGTAATTCATTTTCATCTCTTTGAACCACTAGTTCTCACAACTGCTACTGAAAAGACAGGACCTTTTCTCCTCCTTTAAGAATATTTATGCGCTGGGGAGGTAGCTCAGTAATAGAGTGCTTACCTAGAATGTTCAAGGCCTTGGGTTCAATCCCTAGCACTGAACAAAAAATTTTTTTTTTGCATGTGCATTGTTTGGTAAAAACAAAATAAAATATAAAAATTCTCACCATTGAGATATAACTACCATTAAGATATACATCCTTGCAGCATCCCCCCATACCATGCATAATTTTTTTAAAAATGAAAAAAGGGGAAAAGGGGGAAGGGTAAGAAAGAAAATAATATAGGGAGTGAGTTTGAGCAAAGTACATTATATGTATGTGTGGAAATTTCACAATGAAACCCCCCTTTGTACAAGTAGTTTATGCTAATATAACTCATTTATAGCAAAAAATAAAAACTAAAGGATCTAAACCAGAAAACAAAAAGTTGAGGATTAGATAGATTGAAGTTTTTTTAGAAACTTGCTTTTTCCACCTGCCGTTATGCTAAAGCTGGATCAATATAACTTTTCTCAGCGTTTTTCTCTTTTTAGAGGACTCCCATGAATCCTGTGTGCTTTTGGACAAACCCTCTCTGGGCCTCAGGCACCTCTTTCTCATCTTAGATGTGATCATGTAGGCAAAGCTCCCTGCTGGCCCAGTGCCTGTCACTCTCTGAGCCCCAGCCAGAGTCTGCAAGCCAAAGGTCCTCCATGACTCTACACAGAGTCCCAGAGCTTGCCGGCTTCCTCAAGGCTAGGAACATTCTTGTGTGGCAATGAGCCCTTCACCTCAGCTCCATTACCCTGTGGCTGAGGGGAGAAGGGTTCACCCCATATCAGTGTAAGTTTTTTGGACCCCCGAAGGGTTAAACTGATTTTCTGTTTTACAGTTTTTGGTCTCTCTTGAGGAAGTTGGAACATGCCCCTGAGCTACACTGGAAAACAACTCAGTGCCCCTCCTCCATAACTAGCCAGCATCCCCACCATCTGGAGCCTCTCTTAGCATGCATACAGGATTTCCTTGTCCACTCGGAACTAAGACCAATCTGAGTCCAGCACCTGCTGATGAACTCTACCATCTGTTCCCCAGCTTGCCTTACCTGCTCTGCTCAGCCAGGAGCCCCTCTCTGGGAAGTGGGTTAGTCCTCCCTCACTCTGGACCCTGGAACCTGGCCCTTAATACATTGGTTTATATTTGATAAAGGTCAAATTCTCAGATACTGCCACACTCTAATTCTTCCTTGAAATCAAGGTAGCCAGGCTCCTGGTTTTGCTTTATGCTTTTCTGTGCAAATACTGCAGCAAACTTGGACAGTATACTGAAAAAGAAGAAAGTAAAAAATCTCTGTCCTGGACTAAGCACTAGTCATGCTTTTTCACTCTAAATTCCCAACTTTTTTTTTTTTTTTTAAACCTGTACTGGGGTTTGAGCTCAGGGCCTCACACCTCACTTGAGTCACACCTCTGCCCCCCAACATTTTTTCAGGTATGTATAGTACAGGGAGGAAAAGCTGCAAGGGCATATATCATAATAGTGATTCCATCTCAATGGTGGGAATTTAATGCTGTCATTTCTCTACACACATATGGCACTGTCTCAAGTCTCAGATCGTGAGGAGCACCATCCCACTAGTAACAGCTTTTCAGGAGG